TGATGAAAGAAATTGGAAAAGTGCCTATTTGTCAGAAGTACTCTCTCCAATTCCCTAAAGTAGTTGCCTCTTGATCTTTACGTGACCCATCTGTGTGTTACTTATTTAGGACATAACGTTTAAGATACATGATAGATTCTGGATTTCAAGTTAATGAATTGGAGTTGAGCAAAAAAAATAAATAAACATAGTTAATGAATTGGAAATTCTCACTAAACCTTGATGCTCTCGGTCGCGTGTTTTTCCTATTCTTAAGTGGCCACACAGTATTGACAGATAGTCAGCTACTTACGCGCTATCTAAATGGTTTGATAGTTTGATGAGTATTGAAAGTTATGGTCCTTGCGTCATGTGTTTCATTGTTGCATTTAGCAGAAACATAGGTGAGTGGAGGAAGTAACCGAAGAAAATGAGCATTACGACGTATTCATCACATGAAGATGAAATTGTGAAAGTTTTTGTCATACTCTATCTTTACGTTATGTTGATTATTCATATCCTATTGGCCCCAGTGATGATCGGAACACTTCTACTCTCAAGTTAAATATGGAAATGATCTTATTTTTCATTTATCAGTTGTCAGGTGAATTAAAGTTTCTGATACATGAATGTATTGTGTCTGCTGTCTTTTTTATTTTATTGGGATTATTTTTTAGAATTAGGAAAATACATGAAAGGGGAAAAGATGCTTTTGTGTATCAGAACTTTGACTTTTTATTTTGGGGAAAGAAGTGGAAAAATAGGGTTGCTATAGGGAGGCCATGGTCATGCTATAAGAGGGTTATTTGGGGGTATGCGGAAGTTACTTTTTGGGGTTTATAAATCGTTCCTTTGGCTTAACAGGGGGTGTGGAGAATTTTTGTATTGAACTTGGCCCTTGTGGGAAGGAGAGAGCTAACCTCTCGAAAGATTGGCAGACCTGTGTGTGAGAGTATGTTTGTGAGTGTGTTGTTTATTTTTTGTGTTCGAGTGATTTGTGTGTAGTCTGAAGCTGTAATTGTACACCCCTGTATCAGTCTCTGTGTTGGTCTGCTGTTTATCTGTGAATGTAACGTGTTTTTCCTTGTGTTAGTACCATCAACCTCAAGTTATCTCCTTCTCCCTTGTTTATTCTATTTTATAGTCTTATTAATTTCTGGTGTAGAGGAGGGTCCTATCTGATTTCTTTTAGCCTGCAATTTGATGCTTTCTCCTTTTCTATCAATCTCCACACAATATAATATGGTTCCGCTGTTGACAGGGTTGATTATCAAACTAAACCAGGTAATACTGGGGTGTCTTCATTCAAACATCTGCTTGCACGACTACCTCCAAGAGTTCATTCGGTATACTATCGGGATGGAATTGGGAATATTTCATCTTCACGTTTACGTACAGATTTTTTTAAGGTAATATATGCCCCTGGGTTAGGGTTAACCCTTTTCTTTCCTCACCTCCTATTGGCGTAGAGTAATCATATTCAAGTTGAGTAGCATCATTTGTCTTAATACCTTCTACTACGCTTGTTATTTTCTTCAAGCCTTTTCTTTTGTTTTGGTTATCCATTATCCTTAGCAATTGGGTTGAAGGAAGAACTATGAAGCAAGTCAAGCTGTTTCATCAAGTAACCAAATGGCTATATATTCTACTCTGATGAGACTGTGATATTGTATTTTTTACATGCTAAAATGTTATTCATGTCAGTAGCACCCTTGTTTGGTTTAAATTAATTTGTTCTGGCTATCATTGAGGTATTTTGAGTTTATTATTGAGGAAAATGATTTTGAAAGTTGCATTTATATTGTTTAGCAAGGAACAAAAACCGGGATTGGATGTTAAACCGGTTGAGGTAGTGGTTCAAGGATCAGTTGGTCTGATTGGGGTCAACTCGAGGTCAAACCGATCATATTAAAATAAAATAATTTAATTGAAAATAACAAAATACAACAACATTAATAATCACTAATAACAAAATACTCCCTCCGTTCCTTATTATAAGAGACATTTGATGTTTATGGTATGTTCCCATATATAAGAAACACTTAAAAGTTGTCTCTATTTTTTTGTATTAATTTCCTATTTTACCCTTATTTATTTTGTCTCCAACTCATACTCTCTCTCCCTCCCACTTCTCTTTCTTTTAATAATTTAATTGTTCTCTCTCATACTCTCTCTCCTTATTAATGGGGGCATTGTTGGAAAAAAACATTATACTTTTTACACATTAATTGTTCTCAACTAATTTTAACTGTTTTTTTTTATCAACGTAATTTGGTTATTTGTCTCTTATAATAAGGAACAGAGAGAGTACAAGAAATATAACAATAGTTAGATTGTAACAATAACAAAGTACAACAACATTGAGAATTTTAATGTTTACAATTCATCAATAACTAAAATTAATAATCATTGATACCAAAATAATCACTAAAATTCATTCAAATATATAGTGACTGAGATATTAAGAGCTGAATGAGAAAAAAATGAGGCCAATAGCAACATAATCATTCAAACAGGTTCACACTGGTTTAACCAATTCGATACTGGTTCAATTCTTGACCAGGTTTAATGTCTAAACCAACCAAACCACTGGCCGGCTCGGTCTGGTTTTTTTTTTTCCCATGTTATTTAGTAGGTTATGATGTCTAATCTCACAATCATTAGCGACATGCTTATTTGCTGCAGTCAGAACTATTAATTGAGCCTCGTTATCCTCTATTTGGAGGCTGGAAGTCTACCTTTGTCATTGGTTATGGGGTACCATTGGAGGATTTCCTTTTTGAGTCTCCAGATGGTGGCCGATACCTCAACTTCACTTTTGGTTGTCCTCTTGCTGATACAGTTGTTGACAAGTTGCTTGTCAAGGTGGGTGTGGATTTGTGTGTTACTTTGTTCTTGTAAGCCAAATTCTGTTCTTTGCTTTGAGTGCTTATGCACATAATAATGGATGTTAGGACTTGTTAACTTTCAGGTTGTGCTACCAGAGGGATCCAAAGATCCCAAAGCTGTCATCTCATTTCCCGTGGAGCAACATCTAGAGGTAACTTTTCTAATAATTAGGAATCAATTCCTATTAGTTGTGGAAAATTTTCTGTTAGTGGCCAATATTTACCTCTTTTTAGTAAAATTATCTCTCAATCACCTACAGAAGAAAGAAGAATACAATATGAATAAATAGAATAAAGCAGAAAATATAAGTATTACTGTGTTAGTCAGGCTTTCAATCACACTTTACATCTCTCGACCGTTAAGGCATGTGATGGGAACATTTTTGTCATGCATATTTTGTCTATTGAGAATGCACAGTATTTGGCTTTTTTTTTTTTTAAAAAAAAAAAGGGCCTTGTTCTACTGTGGTTAATATATGACTAGCGTATGAAAGTATTTGTTTGTAGAAGCAGCTGGGGCAAGACTCTAGAGGGGCGGTTCATTACATCACAACAACCAAGACATTCATTATCCCGTGGCTAAACTTGGATATTTTATACCTCTAAGATTATTTATAGACCCTCACTTGTTAGACATGCTTGGGTTTAAACTTTATGATTGAAGCATGCATTTTAGGTAGTGGCTAAAGGTTCATATGCATCTTTGAGTATGATAACCCTTATAGCCAACCTTGTAGCGATGATCTGATGGTTCAGACTTCAGAGGTATGGCACCTCAAGTTAAATTTTTCTCATCAAGGAGACGAGGATTGGTTGGGGAATTGTAATACCTGGATGATAGGTGGTTGTCTAAGCATATGCAGTCTGACTGTTGCTCGGTGTGAGATTCGAGTGTTTGGTCAACCAAGCAACCTAAATGATTAGGTTCACTTTGGAAATTTCCGTAAAAAAATTGAATACCAGAAAAATCTAGAAAGAAAACCATAACAGGTATAAAGCAACTTCTGCAGGGCTATCACCTTAAGAAAAACAGCAGAGGTTTTGCTATCAATTGTGTTTATGTGCGTGTGCAACTTTGATAAATTGTGAGCAATTCTGTTGTGGCAGATCTTGACTTTCTGTTGTAAAGCATTTGATTAACTGTAGCTAACTGTATTTTCTGATTGAATATTTGCAGATCAAGCATTCATACCTTGACGTTGTTGGCAGGACTGTGGTGGTTTTAGAAAAAAGAAATGTAGTGCCTGAGCATAACATTCCTTTCCAGGTATTACTGGGATCTTTAAAAAAATTACTGTATAAAACTTTTTGAAAATTTGGATGCTAGATAAGGTCCAAAAACAAGTAAATTTTCCTTCAAATGTGCGATATAATGTTAATGAAGATATTGATTTCATGAGAGATCAATTGTGTGGCAACAGTAGGCCTGAATTTTATGCTGGTACAAGAGATGGACTGATTCTTAACAATGACTTGTATTGAACCAGACCTCTAAACTATCAAAGATGAATGCGGATAGATGGAAGTCCACTGGCGGCTTAAGTCTAGTTGGGAATGATGACCCTGTGTTTCGTAGTCTTATTTGAAAGTTCTGTAGCAGTTGTTGATGTTGTTTTTTGACGATGACGTATGGAATTTTATGTTTGATAGGAGTCTCTTTAACAAGCATGTTTTGCTTTTCTTCGGGGCTGAGTGATACTTTCAAAGACTGTTTGTGCATCTTAGACTGTCAATTTCTATAATCAAGCTCGAGCACCCAAAGACTTACAGTTCTGTTTAGCTCTTTCATGTAATATCACATCCCCTTGGTTGTGTCTAACCGTGTTTTCCCATTATTTTTGTAGGTCCACTACAATTTTAACCCTATCTTCATGCTTGCTGAGCCATTAATGCTGGTGTCTGCATTTTTCTTCTTTTTCGTGGCTGCTGTGTCATACCTTCACCTGGATTTTTCTATACGCAAGTGATGTCAGAAAGGTATGGTAACACCCCCTCTCCCCTCCTTTTTATCCCTTCTTTTGGAATTTCTGACATAGATGTGTGTAACTGTTCCCTGTTGTGACCCACTCACTTCCGTAACATGCAGCGACTGTGCAAGATCCGAAGTTGCTGGGAAATGGGAATCCTTTGATGTAAGATGATAAGGTCAAACAACTTTTTTGTAGAAATTATACTTAAATATACGGCAGCATTAAATTTTTATAATATTTAAGTTAGAGAATATCAGGAATTCAGGATTGTCTGCTTTTTATTTTACAATGGTTGTGTCAAAGCCGGTGAGTGGTGAGCTTCGCAGCCGATGAGAAGCAAATTTTGGTGAGGGCGTTTTATGCAGTTTCCATAACGAAACTATTTCAGCCATTCCGTTGACATAGTCGAAATGCATCAAGATTAATCTGGATATCATCTGAACACATTACCAGAGAGAGAAACCCTTTTCAGTGGGATGCTCTGAAAAATATATTTTGAGAAGCCATCATAACAAGTACTCCTCCGGTCCTTAATATAGGACCTAATTCTTGAATTGGTTTTGGTTCTAAATATAAGACTCCTTTCTCATATTTATCAATTTTCTCTAAATTACCCCTATAAATACTCCCTCAACTATAATCAAGTAAAAGAGGAAGATGAGGTATTAAGAAATATGATTATGGTGTTTTAGGAAAAATGTGTCACTTTTCTTATAATTAACTAATTTACCTAACTTCCTTAATCTAATTAAATTAGTTAAATGGGTCTTATATTAAGGACCGAAGGAGTATTATGTTATGAACACAGACACAAAAGTAAAGCCCAAGTTCAAAATGAGTATTGAACTCTCAATGAAAGTACCAATACTATAAACACAAGTTTAAAGGGAGTATAATCCCAAAAACTGGTCAAGAAGAGTTTTTAAACTTGCAAATCATATCACTTGTGAGGTTTTGAGCTTACTCAACGTCTTTCCTTAAAAATCAAATTGTCGGTTCATCTCCCTGCCCTTTATTTTTTTCTTTTGTAATGTGTGTAATCGTGAAAAATAGGACAACTTGTCTCATTCTATATGGAAATACAGGTTAATCATGCACGATGGGGTAGTCATAATGAGACCCTCAGCTGCTTGCCAAAAAAGGTTTGCTGGATGTAAATTTCGGTGTGGATGGATCAGCTTTAGATCAATCACGAGGTGATAAGATAACGGTTTGTTTCAATCTGTTCGTTGGGGATTTCTTTTTAAGAACAAAACATTTGATAATTATGAAACGGAAAGGGTGACATGGCGACGAAGCTAAGCAAGGGGGAAAATGGAGAATCGACTTAACAGTTGGTGGCATTTTGGGTGGCTAAGATGGGTGGAGGCACATGATGGCATCTTCAAATCATAAAAAGCATTATTGATTCATAACTGGCTACATGTGGATATTTAAAATGAGGCAGTGCCTGAAACTGTGTAAACTGAGTTGGCAAAAGAGAGAGAAGGGCAAGTGTAAACGGACTTTAGCAAACACTACATGTGACATCGATGCCGGGAACACATGAAATTGGACATGTCAACTCAATTATCCTAATTATGCATCCAAATCATTTTTGGTCTTAAAACTCTCATTACCCCCACTTTCAGACTTCTGGTGCAATTGAACCTCATAATTTTGTGGTTTTGAAGGCGGAAGATATTTTAGTCTTTCAAGTTTATTGACGTACAGCAATGAACGGAAAACTATTAACAAATCTCTTGTTCATGAGAATCCCTAATTTTGCTTGTATTCTTTGAAGTTGACAAACTTCAAATAGCCTTCACTTTCTTCTCATCTACATAGAATAAATTAAGTGCTTGATTTCATGCATGGTGTATTTTATGAATAAAAAATCCATAGCGACTTTCATTGTCCATAAATTTTTAAGCACTACTATCTATAAGCTATTAATAATTCAGTTTTTCTCATCAAAATAATGCAGTTTTTATATATAATTTTTATTCCTTTTTTTCGGTTATGCATTTCATTTGACTTACACAACTTTTATTGTAGTCTTTCAATTTTTTTTTTCCTTCTACACAGTTCGGCAGAGCAGAAGAATACAATATTCAAGTCATATTTTGTTCATCGACAGCACGAAATTTTTTTTCTTTGCTGATAAGTTATTGTGCCAATTTCTGACCAAAAAAGTTATTTGCCAAACACGCTGTGATTATTCTTTTGGCAGAACAGGTATAAGAAGATGGAGAAGAATGTTTTCAAAAAGGAAAAAAAGAAAAAGGCAAAAGATTATGTATAAGTGGCCCAATATACTTGACCGAAATAAAAAGCACCTCCAATTTAAAAAGCACCATGTGTTTTTCTTTTTAATTCTTCCTTTCCTTTTTAGACTTTTTCTTTACTAAGCAGCCCCTATGCTTTACATCAAAATCATAAATATTTTGGCCAAATAACCTAAAAAGTATATAAGCAGAAATATAAATGAAATATAAAATGTCTAGTGGTATTAAAATGAAGCTTTAATTTCCCTTTTCTTGTATTTCCCTAATTGTGATGTTCATCCTCGTGTGCAGCTAACAGTAAGATTTAGTTCTCTACCTTTTTTGTTTTTTACTAAAACTGGAAAAAACTATAAATACTAATTTTTTTAATTGATTTTCATTATGTAACTTTTTTATTGCAATATGGCCCATGATAATGTAGTGAATATGCATATTTGTTGATCATAAACCATTAAACATATATCCAAGCATATTCAAATGTGAAGACATCCTCAAAGATCTATTGAGTTTAAAACATTAAACAGATTTTTTTGCTCATTTTACGATACTGAAAGAATGAAATTATGTACATTCTTATCAGAAATAATTCTATTTGAGATGCTGTCCAACATTAAATATGGACATCTTTTCTAAAAGAAATTTGAATCTTTGTTGTTGCGAGAGGAACTTTTTTGTTTTTGCTAACAAAAAGATAGATAATGTATGGCCCCATCCCTACATCACATCATATTGTCCAAAGCCCATGGATAAACGACTTTGCAGCATTTTTTTATGGATAAAAGTATTACAGATAATTTTAATCTTGGATTTTCAAATGAAAATTAAAAATACCATTGTATAAAAATTATTAAAAAATTATATATATATATATATCTTGTTTTTTGTGGTTTTGAGTGCACTGTATTTTTTGTTTAAATTTTTCATACACATGGAATGCCGCACGGCTAACCTAGTTTTATTCAACATTTGGAAGTGAATTCATTTGAATTTAACAAATAAACATTTTTTTTGACCAAACGAGTTAATAAATATAAATGAGTATATAAAAAATATGCCAAAATATGTGTGTGTGTGTGTGACAAAAACATCAACAACAATCACAGCATACCATATTTTAAGCATGCACAGTATTTGGTTACATCAGAAAAGCCCATCCTGATGTGATTATTTATTTATTATTTATTATTGATAACGATTCCCACGCTGCTATTATATGTTTGTTTGGTTCGTAGTTTTTCCCCATCAATCCTCATTCAATGTTTTATAATAAAAATATAAATATTAATATTAATGTTGCTTCATAACTCCTAGATTAAGTCATTAATTCAGGTGCTTAAAAAATGTTATGAAATTGCCTGTCTTATAAATATGTCCATTTAGTTTGGGCTTTAACCTTTTGAGAAAAAGCTATTAGAGTGGACCTTGGGCTGGCCCACCGAAATAAATTAAAAAACAGAAAGCAGCTTCATATAATTACTTCGTCTCAAAGTAATCGAACAAACTTCTCAACAAAAAAAAAAATTGTTAGACAAAATCGAAATATCATCCTACTTAACTCCGTGACTTATATCATTCTTATTAGATTTTCTTTCATAATAAAATTATGGAATAGGCAATAAACAATTAAAAAAATTTCCATGTCGTTGTTTTGAAAATTATACTTACTATAATTAAAACGAAGCATGAAGAAAACATATTTAAAGCAAGGGAAAGCAGTAGTCTTTAATTTTCTATGGTGAAAAAATTATTTATGTAAAATCTTAATAACTATATATAACCACTTGTGCCATTTAAATTGAAAGAAATTGCGGTTTTATTTTATCTATGTATCATCCAATACAAAATTGCAAATACCATTGCCATCCAATTTTCCTTTTTATTTCTCTTTCTAAAGGAACAAACTTAAAAAAAAAAAAAAAAAAGAACCTCAGCTTTTGAGTTAGAGGATATTTGCCTTGCATGTGACCTGCCACCACCCGAAACATTAATTTTCAACAACGTACTTATATGCCCCATTGAACCAATTTCTCATAAATTCTTTCATCCCAAAACTAACCTTGTTTATCACCCATTTAATAAGTCGCGCATAAGGGCAATAACGTCATTACTGTTTGTAGCTCCCCACATGGCTTGGGGCTACCCTCCCCCTCCAGCATGATTTGGTTGTCTCCCTACCTAGTAAAACAAATGTTTAATACCACAACATGAGATTTTTCAAATATATATATATATATATATATTCCAATCCTAAGTATGAGAATTATGCTGCTTATTTATAGATGTTAAAAAAATATGTATGTTAGTTAGTTAAAAAATTGTATATTTATTTCTTAAAAAAATTTCTCTTTTAATCATTTATATCAAAATCACTTTCTTAATATGTGTATTTAATAAGGAGAATTTGAGAAGAAAAATTATCAATTTGGAAAATAAGGTAGATTGAATACGTGTATCTAGGATCAAAACAAATTCTTCAGTCAACTCTTACATTTAGGACAAATAAAAAATCAGTATATGCGAGTATATATATTTAAAATGATATGTTATTTATTATTTTTAATGTTAGAAGCTACTTTTTTTTTTGTCGCAGAACAAGTTTCCCTATTCCGTGTTTTTTTTGTGTGTGTGTGGGGTCATCAAGAAAACTTTTTTTTTTTTGGTGTGGAATTTCCTTAGAAGAAAAGGAAATTACAAACGAAGATAAAAAGTTTAAAAAAGTTTCACGAGATAATTATAAAAAGTCTTGTAACTTCACATGTAAGGACCCGTCCATCAATTTCATTTTCATCAATCTCGCCGTTTAATTAGCTGATTACGATACTTCCTTTCTATTCACTTTTTTTTTTTTTGGTTGGAAACCTTTCTATTCACATTTTAATGCCTTCTATTCTTATATTCAATCAACAATTTTACATAAATTAAGAGAATTAATAAGAATTAGTTATTTCTTATAAAAATTTTAAATTATTCTCTATAAAAATTGATTCATTAGAAAAGTCTGTTTAATTTTTCTGATAAAAGAAAAAAGAAATATTTAATTGCAAAATTTTATAATTGATTGGGGATATTAGATAAAACAAATTATTGCTTCAGACAATATATAATA